AAAAAAAAAAAAAAAAAAAAAAAAAAAAAAAAGAATAGACTTCTTACTCAGGAAGAAAAATTCAAGTATCAAAAATTCAGAACTTAAATCCCACCATTTGACTGGGAAGTTAAGTGTCCATGACAGGTTCTCACTGTTCACGTGATCTGCATGCTCTACCACAAAACTGCACAGGGGAACTTGGAAATATATAATCACCATGTTAAATATATTCATTTGACATGATACTATTTTTTTCTTTGCTTCCTAGTCAATTTTCAAAGTACGCTTAAAAAAAAATGAATTGCTATTGGAGTTTTTGAAATGATAAAGAATAATCCTTAAAAAAAAAAAAGGAATAATTCTAAGAGGCAACAAGTTTCCCACTGCAGTATATAATTGAGGTGTGGAGACATCCAGGTGCTAATCAATACCTTGCAAAGTTGAGTCTAAAAAGACTGGCAGAATGACAACTGCTAGCTGAAGTATTTACAGCTTATTTTAGCATAGACATGCACAGCATAATGTCAAAATGGGAAAACAGACCACTTAGCCTGGCAGGAAAATGATTCATACATAAAGAAAGAAAAAAATCTCACGTGAATTATAACATCAATATTCAACACATTTTCTGTCTTTCTTTTTTCAACACGATTTCTTTCTAGACTATCTACATTGGGCATTAAAACTCAGTAGGCCAAATGAAATTTAGAATAGGGTCTATTTATGGCCTCAAGAAACAACACATAGGACAAAAAAGAAATAACAGAAATAAAAATATGACAATTTCTTTTCGGTTTGCTGGTGAGGTCTCTCAATTGAATGATGAGGGCTGGGCACGGTGGGTCCGGGAAATAGGGACACTGACTCCCAGGAGTTCTCATGCCATTACGTCTCTTCAGGGTTCTTTGGTGCCTTTCTGCCTCTTTTCCATATGACTTCCTTAAGGCAGTGATTAAGATCCGATCCTCTCGCATACATCAAGGCTGAAAGCAGAAACCCTACAGGAGCAGGCAGATGACAGGTCAGGTGATTGAAGCAGAGGATGGGGATCTGGAGGGTCCAGGGCTCTCCCCTCTAGCTGATAAATGCCAGGAGGAAATGGAACCAACTGGTGCCAAGGCTAGTGATTTTTCAAAAGAATCTGAGTATTTTAGTGATGCTGCTTCGTTTTTAAATATTAGCAACTTTAAAAAGTATCCTGGGTTTGCTGAAAGGCTTTTTGTCGGGTTATATCCCATTGGTGGGGGACCCACTTGGCTGTGGCCCAAGCTGCAGTGCTGCTGGTGATACCAAGCTTCGTTTTTAAATATTAGCAACTTTAAAAAGTATCCTGGGTTTGCTGAAAGGCTTTTTGTTGGGTTATATCCCATTGGTGGGGGACCCACTTGGCTGTGGCCCAAGCTGCAGTGCTGCTGGTGATACCAGTTCAGTGGATGAGTCCCAGGACTGCCAGCCCATAGCCCACTCCCACAGCCTTTCCAGAGACTTTGTAAGCACTCAATCCCCTGGATTAAGTCCCTTTTTACTTAAAATGGAGTGGTTTCTGGTTCTTGTAACTGATCCTTGACTGATAGCAAACTACAACTTGGAAATACAATGCCAAAAAAGATTTATTTAAAACAATTCACCTCAAAAAAAGAAAAAAAAATTATAAGTAACTGATTTTTTAATTTTCCCCATCCAAATCTATATGCTAGGCCAGATTAGCATACTTTTTTATGCCGATTATTTAATTGTCATAAATAAAAGTACCAAGAATTAAAGCACAGCTCTGGGAGCATGCAGAGGTGGAGCACGCAGTGGTAGCTTCCAGGCTGGCCAAGGACTGGGAGTCAGGAGGAGGCCAGACCCTGGGGAAAACCTTACAAATACCCAAGAGTTTAATACCTCTGGCCAAGACACTGGATACTGTACCCCCACCATTCCTGCCACCATAAAACAAACAAAAAATACTTTTATTTTTGTGCTGAAAATTTCAGTAAATGACTTAGCACATCCGATTATATGACCCTGATAATTATCACTGTAGCAAACTGTAAAAAAGCACCATGGCTTCACATGATAATAGTTTCTGACCTTGCTAAGAACTTCCTGCAACTTTCCAGCTATCTTTTGAGCTATTTATATCTGGGGGCAAAAGAAGTTTATACAGACCATGTATTTATCAGCTGCACCACACAGATAGAAAAAAAAATTGCTGCTTGGCTAATTTACATATCAAATTTGAACACTCAAGTTACACATTAATATTAGGTATTATACATTAATAGTCACTTTAAATTTCTCCAATTCAAGGAAGCTTACAGAATCAAATGACTTTTACACAGTTCAGGCAAGTTAAATAATTTATAATGGAACCTTATTTGTTGGCCCTTAGAGCAGAACAATCCAAACTCAGGCCCAGCTGAGAACGGTGGCTCACCTTCACTTGTTCTACTTTTCTGGACCTAGCGTGGCCACATAACCTGCTACCTACCTAATCGTGTATCTTCCCACGTGAGACAGGAACAGAAACAGAAAATAATTCCTGTAGCAGGTCCAATTACCAAACTTGACTTGCCAAAAGACCAGGCTAGACTCTATAGATAGGCATACATTAAAAATGAATCTACCGTACTGATCCCTCTCTGTGGAAGTGAACCTAGTTGCTAGCCTAGAGGTGACCTACGGCATAAGAAATATTTCACCTGCGTAAATTTGATCTTAATTCTTCAGAGAGCTAGGTTTCACCAAGAACTAGTTTAACATTCAACAGATAATTATCAAGAGCCCCTACCCGTTAGTCTCTTTCCTGGAATTTAAATTAGTTATAAAGCTGCATATAGAAAAATAGAAAATAAAACAGTGAATCCTATAGACAATGTTGTGATCTCTTTGTAAAGATGTCCTTTTATATCACTAGAACTGATGTTCAAGAATATTTTGTGTAAAAAGAGAAAATACCTTTTTACCTAAAAAATCTCAGTAACCTACCCCGTACTTAAGTCCACATTAAATGTTGGAGAGCCACTGTATTAGTTTGCTATTGCTGTAGAATATTTTGTGTAAAAAGAGAAAATACCTTTTTACCTAAAAAATCTCAGTAACCTACCCCATACTTAAGTCCACATTAAATGTTGGAGAGCCACTGTATTAGTTTGCTATTGCTGGTCTAAGAAATTACAGTAGTCCCCCCTTATCCATGGGGGATATGTTCCAGGAACCCCAGTGAATGTCTGAAACGGCTGGTAGTACTGAATCCTGTATATATTATATTTTTTTCCTATACATACATATCTATGATGAAGTTTAATTTATAAGTTAGGCACAGTAAGAGATTAACAATAATAACTAATAATAAAATAGAACAATTATAACAATAAACCAGCACCACTCTTCTTGTGCTTTAGGGCCATTATTAAGTAAAACAAGGGTCACCGAACACAAGCACTGTGATATCGCGACAGCTGGCCTGATAACCTAGCAGGCTACTAAGTGACTCATGGGCAGGGAGCGTCTACAGTGTGGAGATGCCAAACAAGGGGAGATTCATATCCTGGGTGGGACAAAGCGGGACAGCATGAGATTTCATCACACTACACAGAACGGCACCCAATTTAAAACTTATAAATTGTTTTTTTCTGGAATTTTCCACTTAATATTTTCAGACCATGGTTTACGATGGGTAACTGAAGCCACAGAAAGTGAAACCACGGATAAGGGGAGACTACAAGTTTAATGGCTTAAAACAACACAAATTTATCACCTTACAGTTCTGGAGGTGAGAAGTCCTAAAATCCAAGCTGTTGGTAGGGCTGTTTTCCTTTGCGGAGGCCCTAGAGGAGAATTCATTTTATTGCCCATTTTAGCTTCTAGAGGCTACCTGCATTCCTTGGCTCATGGCCCCTTCCACCTCAAAGCCAGCAGCACAGCACCTTCAAATCCTTCTGTCTCTCTCTGACCTCTGCTTCTGGTGTCACATCTCCTTCTCTAACTCTGACCCTTCCGTCTTGCTTTTTTAGGACCCTGTGATTACATTGAGCCTATCTAGGTTATCTTAGGACCCTTAACTTAACCACATCTGCAAAGTCCCTTTTGCCATATAAGGTAACATACTCACAGGTTCCAGAAATTAGGATGTGGACAACTCGGGGGGGACATTATTCTGTTTACCATAGTCACTAAGGTCACACATAGGAAAAGAGAACACTAAAATGTCTTTGCAGTTATCTGTGTAATATTAACCAAGAGTGCTTGCTTAAAAAAATCCATTCATAAGAAATTACTAAAATAGAAATGATAAAAGATTTGTCTTCTTCCATAAAGTAAGTTATATAATTTCCATATGACATAATTATTAATTGTAAAGAAAAAACATGAGGGTTTTCTTTCAGATGTACTTTTGCCACAGTAAAAACCAAGCATGTTCTCTCTCTCCTGCTTACCAGGCAGGTGGCAGGCACATGCTGGTTGTTAGGGACAACATGTTCTCATCCAGAGATACCGGCTGAGGTCTGACGTTGATGTGGTAACAGCCTGCTTGGTAATTTGATCGCACTAATATTACCTGTTTGAATAAAGCGTAGTTCTGTCCTGTGGATCATGTTCATCGACATATAAGGAAGAAGATGAAATCGTGGTCGCCAAGGAGGCAGCTTCAAACAGCGATGGAGTGCTCGGCACCAGGTCAGGTCTGCGTCGGCATCCCAGGGCTGGGTAACAAAAGCAACACACACACTCACCAATCTCAGTAATAAATGATGCTTTAGCATCTATAATAATCTAAATGAGTCAAAAGCATTCATTTTACATACCAGGCTGTAAAATAAATTATGAATTAACCGTGATCTTCTGCACTACAAGTAGAAATGTAAAATAACTTCTTGCAAACAGGTTAAACAGAAAGGAAATTGCATTAATTTACAAAATGGCTTATGGAAATGACATTATAAACATTCCATTAAAAGCCTAATAAAGCGATTTACCATTTCAAAAAGGTGGCAAAAAAACCCTCCTAGGTATCTAAGGGGATAATTTGACAGAGATTAAAAGGATGACAGGCAGGAAGCCTGCTTTGCCCTTTCTGTAACAGATACAGAACTACGACTCTCAGTTTAGATCTAAGGACTCAGATTTTTCAAGAGCTAGGAAACAAATACTTCAACAGACCAGCAGTCAGCTATATCTGAACCCCATTTGAGCCCACACATATCTTTGGACATTATCTAGGGCTTTTCTGGACATTATATTTCAACAGCAAGGCTACCTTTATAAAAGTGAGAAAACTATTATTTCTTCTTTAAAACTTAGGGACCCATGAAAATGCTTATGCAAGACCCTTGTCAGGAAAGAGCAATGTTCCAGGCTGAGCAGTGACCCATGCCTATCTCTCTGTGGGCTCTATGTGGACTGTGTTTCATCATTCCCTAGAACTGAATTAAAGCAGTTTGTAATAAATACAATATAACCTAAGGTGTTTCTAGTATTCCTTTATAGCCACAAAAATTCGAAATTAGGTATTTTCCGTGAGTAAACAGAAAATGACCCTTCTAGGCACTATCACGTGAGTGTGAAGTTCTGGAATTTGGATTTGAAGGGACCTAGATAGTGAGGTAGAGAGGCATGGAGGGAAAACAGGGACAGCACGGGAAGGGGTGGACTCTTGCCTAGGAGACTGGACAGCCCATTAAAATGTATGGATGGTAGAGCTCTGCCTCCGATTCAGGTCCAAAGAACTGCCACAATGAAAACCAGATGATGACCACATAGAACCACCAAGAACCAAAGTATTCAACATACAAAAATTTGAAAGGCTTTAATTTAATGTGACACCTGGCTTATAATTTTCAATAACTTCTCATTAAATAGACAAATATGAAACCTCTCAATAACATTGAAAACGGGGTCTGAAAAATAACTTGACTTTTGATTCCAATGAATTGCCACTAATTATAAGGCAGATGGAGCTGGACTTTGAACAACTAATGCAGACTTAGGTCGTGGGCATAGCCAGCTTTACTTCATCAACCAGAGACTACCTGCATAACATAATATAGAAAAATACAGGCTGGCCAGGTAGCTCAGTTGATTAGAGTGCAGTGTTATAACACCAAGGCCAAGGGTTAAGATACCCGTAAGGGTCAGCCACCAAAAACAAACAAAAAAAACCACTATCGGTCCAGTGACTCAGTCCCAGGTCATACTTCATCGAAACATTGGGTAGCTGACCCCTCAACCCCTGAGGAACAGCACTGTGAGACAGAGAACTATTTCCTCATGCTCCTGTATCGTTCAGTCTTTTTCTAAAACCAGTGTGGGAGGCAGAATTCTAAGATGACCCTCAATGGCCCACACCCTGGTATGATCTCCCTTTGACTGTGGGTAGAACCTGCAAGTATGATAATATTCCTTTGATTATGGTATATGACCCAGCAAAAGGGATTTTGCAGATGTAATTAAGGTTACTTTGAGTTGATTAATTTTGACTTAGCTAAACGGGAGGTTATCCAGGGGGGTGTGACCTAATCACATGAACCCTTTAAATCTGGGTCTACAGGTCAGAGACAGGAAGTAAGTGATTCCAAGTGTTGGGGGAGACTCACTTGCAGGAAATTCTCCATCTGAAGATGGAGGGGGCTGCATGGCAAGGAATGTGGATGGTCTGTAGGGCTGAGCACAGTCCTTGGCTGTCAGAAAGCAAAGAAGAAGGGGACCTCAGGCCAACAACTGTGAGGAACTGAATTGTGCCAACAACATGAATGAACTTGGAAGAGGATTCTTCTATGTGCCTCCAGATAAGAACTTAGCCCAGCTGACACCTTGATTTCAGCTTCTGAGATCCTGAACAGAGAACCCAGGTGAGCTGTATATAACCAGTCTTCTGATTACAGAACTGTCAGCTGATAAATGGGTATTATTTTGAACTCTTAAGTTTGTGGTAATTCCTTACATGGCAAGAAAAGTAATATAGCCTGAACATTCTGAGAATGCCAGAAAACAAATGGTTAAAAACTAGAGTGGAAATTTGGTGATGACTTGGTATACTCTGAAAGGGGAGGTCCCCAAGTATAGGGCATTATTCCACTTTTTTTTTGGTGGCTGGCTGGTTCAGGAATCTGAACCCTTGACTTTGGTGTTGTAACACTGTGCTTTAACCAACTGAGCTAACTGGCCAGCCCCCAAGTACAGAGCATTATTAAGAGGCCAAACTTTGAGTAGGAAGAGGACTGTAAAAATAAACTCATTTTATAATAGCAAGTTACATTTTCAAAGAATATGCTCAATAGGTTTTTCTTAGACCTTCAGAGACTGTTTCAAGTATAGTATCTCTAAATTTGAAGTAACATGTCCAACAGTTCATCTGAAAAAAGCACAATATGTGCACTACTTCCTATTTTTCCAGACTTTCTGGATACCGTGTAGTGTATTTACTATACTTTTCTCTCCAGATTAACAATTAGACTCATTACTTTAACTTTAGAGGCCATATTGAGCATACTATTTGAAAGTTTAATAAAGTCTAAAAATAAGTTGATCCCGTTTCCCAGACTGCAGTTGCCTGTAGTTTTACGTGTATTATCAGAAAACCAGATAGTATGGTGGGGGAGGCACCAGTGCAGGGTAGCTTAGGGGAAGTGGGTGGCCTGCCAGGAATTGGAGCCATCAAGTCTGGGGGAGGATTAAGGGGTATTCATTAATTTTTGGTGAAATCACTAACTCTGGGTAAGATTTGGTTTAAGGCAAGATGAGAAAGAAAGTAAGCCTATGGATAAGAGCTACAGAAGAAGGGGATTGGAATAACATCCTATTCGACAGACTCTGAAGAAAAGAAACCCCTCAGAGAAGATCTTATCTTCTACAGGAAGTAGAAGACATTTTCAGAAAATGTTGAGATTCTCAAAGGAATCTATTGATAGAAAAACCTAAAATGTCACTTCCCCTCATTGGATTAGAAGAGAAAAACCAAATGATCAACTCAACAACTAGAGAAAAGCATTTGATAAAATTCAATACTCATTCTTGATGAAAATCTTTAGCAAACTAGGATAAAAAAGGAACTTTCTTGCCCTGATATGGTTATCAAATACAGCAAACTTCTTTTTCAACAGTGAAACATTAGAAGCATTCCCTTTAAAATCAGGACAAGGCAAAGCTGCCCACAGTCACCACTTCTGTTCATCATTACAAGAAAGCAAAAGGTATGAGGTCTGTGTAGTAGCAACAAACAGCCAGAAAACCCAGTGGTGAAAAAAAGATACAACTTCGAAAGACAGAAAAAAAAAAAAAAAGATCTATGTTTATATTTCTATATCCCTCCAAGGAACAAATCTAACCAAAGGTAGGTACACATGGCATGCAAAGACAATATTATAAAACTTTTAAAAAACTTCACTAAAGAAGACATAAATAAATGGAGCAATAACTTATTGCTACATTGTGTGTGTGCATGTATGTGTACGCATGTGTGTTCATGCACAGAATAAGGTCTAGTGATAAAAACAGCAAAATGCTAGTATTCGTTATGATCAGGTAGCAGGATTATGGATTTTTTTCTTTTTGAATCTTTTAGTATTTTCTAATTTTTACCATAAACCATAAATTGTATTATTTATGTGATATTTGAAATGTACATGAACTGTGTCATCCTGTGTGTATCCTTTTAAAACATTTAATTGACTTCATTTCTTAGAGCAGATAGTTTCTAATTTTTCTACTGACTGTAAATTTACATTACTTGTATAAATAAATCACAAGAAGTTTTTATTTCTTTTTTTAAAAAAGTGACATATCTTTACCTTCTTCATCAAGGCTGCTAAAACTTTGTCCTTCGGTCAGCAAATCTCGCTTCTCATCCTGCCATTCCTGGCTAACTGAGGACACAATCTCCTGTGAGGTTGCCTTTAAGGCAGCAATGGAATTGCACCGTTTCTTGGAAGGTGAGGCCTTCAAAGCTAGATGGAAGGAAAAAGGAGAGACAAATAAAGACACTTATTGTAAAACTGCATTAATATTTTATTTATAAAATTAATATTATTTAATATGTTATTAACATTTTAGTCATTGAGTTGAAGGCAGGAGTCTTATTTTTTATATGTATATGTGTGTGTACGTGTCCATATATATATGGATATGGAAGGGGAGATGAAATTGTCTGTATTTGGCCATATTATCTGTCCAAAATAACTTGATTTATTTATTTATTTATTTTTTAAAATGCATCTATTTATTCAAAAATTATTTATTTAGGACCACTACAATATTGAATAAAACATATTCCCTGCCTTCAAGAACCTTATACTCTAATAAACAACTATAGTCATGTGCTGCATAACAATGTTTCAGTCAACAAACTACAAACTGCATATATAATGGTGGTCAGAGAAATAGGCTTTATACAGACTAGGTGTATAGTAGGCTACACCATCTAGATTTGTGTAAGTACACTCTATGATGTTTGTACAATGACAAAATCGCCTAATTTAAACCAGAATATCCGAGAATAAGAGTCAAAAATTTCTCTCCAGATTTTGAAATAAAGTCTTATTTGAAGTGAAAGTGAAATGTTTTGTTGCTAAAGAATAATTTTCCCTCCTCCAAACAATGTGATTCTAGTGCTGGGAGAAGGCTGAGTGGGTTGGTAGATGCAGATTAAAGTACGGAGAATTCTCATGACCCTAGTTTTATTAAGTTGGGACTGGGAATTTCTAAACATGCTAATGTTTAATCTGATACTCATGTTGCCCAATTTAGCCAAGTTACTTCTGGTTGCTTTTTCTTTCTGTGACTTTCCACTGAAAGTTCCTACCCTTTGGGTCTTTCTAGGTCATAGTTACATCAGATATATAATTCACTCCCGATCTTTGTCCAAACCACATTATACAACTTCAGAAGTATGTTGGCAACCTGAACCAATGAAAACGTACTTCCCCATCAATCATGCTTGCTGGAGGCTGTGACTCTACACAGGACACATCAGGGGAAGCTGCTTAAGCAGCAGCCAGACCATCTCAATTTATATTCACTCTTTGTTGCAATAATTCTGCTTGGCTTAATACTGTTAGAGAATTTCCTTGGAGGGTAGGGGGAGAGGATGGTTGAGACTTGTTTATACTTTCCCCTGAACTTGTTTTTGGCAGCATCTCTCCTCCTTTGGAGGTTTGCATAAAGGGGTAATCCCACAGCAAATGCATTAGAGTAATTGTGTTGAGCCTTGGGAATCTCAGAGCTTAGATTACACTGCTCACCTGGGGCCTTCCCACAGGCAGCTTGCAAGAACTTAATTGGAAAAGGACTTTGGGACACACCTCAGGGAAGAATAGAGGGCAATCTCTTCACTTAAAAAGAAAGACAGGCTTATCTATCCCACGAGCAGTCTTACAATCATAATACCATCATCATCAAAAATAATGTTTGTAGAGGGCTTTAGAGTTTGGAAGCCAGCATTCACACTGCAAATTTCAAACTATGCACATATGTGAGGTAGGCAGGCCCTCATAGGTCCAGAAACTGAGAGTAGATAGTTCTGACTTGTTCAAGGTCATAGAGCTAGAAAGCTTGAACTCCAGGTGTGTTTCTTTTTTTCTTAAGTTGCCTAATTGGTGGTTCATTTCCTAGCTCTTTTTTTTTTAAATTATTTTTTATTTTTTAGAATAAAGAGATAATTCACTACCTCTGGACCAGTGGTGTGTTTCTTTTTTTCTTAAGTTGCCTAATTGGTGGTTCATTTCCTAGCTCTTTTTTTTTAAAATTATTTTTTATTTTTTAGAATAAAGAGATAATTCACTACCTCTGGACCAGGCCATTTCCTAGCTCTTTAGCAATTTCATTTCCTAGTGAAAGTGGGGGAAAAAAGATAAAACTAATTTGTTTTTCCTTGAGAGGATGAGATTTTGCATGTTAAAAAACTGATCAAAATTGTTTTTAATGATAGTTAAGTGACCCAAATAAGTCTTGTTTTCCTCAATTCCCCATTCTATCAAATAGTGGTCAAGCTTGTTTTACAGGTCTGAAGAAAATATTCACACACTGGCTTCTGCCTTAACATTGTATTTGCTAACTTTTATAAACCTTTCATAAACTCCTGCCTTTCAATATAGTATTTGAAAACTTCTAAGTCAGAGGATCTCAAATGTAATTCGGGGACCACTAGGGGTCCCTGAGACCCTCTAAGGAGGTCTGCAATGTTGAAACTATTTTCATAATAATAAAGGCATAATAATATTTGCCTTTTTCACTCTCATTCTCTCACAGGTGTAAAGTTTTCCAGATGTTTCATGACCTGTGATATCCCACACACTGAATTCAGAAGCAGAATGTGAGAGTGCAGCTATCTTCTATTAAGTCAGACATTAGGAATTTGAAAAAACAAGTAAAAGAATGCCACTTTTCTTATGAAATTACTTGCTTTGAAAAATATATTTTTGTAATTATTTTTATGTTAAAAATATTATTTTTTGATAATATTGACTTACTTTTTTATTGTTACCTGATAAGAATATTAACTATTTAGAATTTTTCTCAATTTTAATTTCCAGTATGTGAAATATAGATAGCTAAACCCCACATAAATAAAAGCTCTTTGGAGTCCTCAATAATTTTTAAGAGTGTAAAGTGGCCCGGGGACTAAAAGGTTTCAGAATTGTTTTTCTACATCATCGTTCTTAGGTCAATGCTAATTCTCCAAACTGACAAACAGCTGTGATCAAAAGAATGTTGGTAGCATCAAGGAAACATGAATTTATAATGAGGGGAAGATGCTCAGGGGAGCTGTGCTTGTGGCTTTTAATGGAGAGAGGGCCAAAAGCCTGCAAAAAAAATTAGTTCTCTGTTCATTATTAGCTTCACCCATAATGAGGAGCAGAGAGGACCCAAAACAAACCTCTAGCCAAAAGACAGCACCTAAAGAAAGAATTTACTTTTACCTTACATGGTGACTTTCTTCCTTTAAATGAATGATCTAAGCCTCTCACTCAGCAGATAATGACTTGGATCTTGCAGAGAGTGAATGCTTCGGGGACTTTTTTGACTGGGCAATTTTGAAAGATGGTTTGGGTTGCTGGCTACTTTCTTTTGTGTGACAGAAACTCCTTGACTTGTCTTTGGCTAAAACATGTCTTATGCTAATTTCCAGACTTAAACGTTCTGCCACTCAACTGCCTCTACACTTTACTATTTTTCAGCTCACCTATCTGCCATTCTGGAACCTACTATGTTCATTCCTACCCCAAGGCCTTTGCATGTGCTGTTCCTTCTCCTTGAGATGCCCTTCCTGCCTCTCTCCTTAATGAACTTTGGTCTATGTTGTCAGGACTTAGTTGAAATATCCTTTCCTCTGTGAAGCTGTCTTTTGGAAGAATTGGTCTTATTTCTTTCGGTGTACCCACAGTAATGTATGCAAAACCCTATTAGCGATTGCTTTATTACATTATAAATCTGTTTCATGTTCCAATCCCTGACTCAAAAGAAGACTATTAAATTACTGGAGGATGGAACTAGTTAAATTTTAAAAGCTTTCAATATTATCAGTGCTTAGCATAGTGCCAGGTACATAATAGGGGCACAAGGGTTTGTTGAATGAATGCATTATTATTGTTCTAAAATCTTAGGATGGTTAACTTTTGCACATTATTGAGGCTTGATTCATGTTGTAGATTGCCTTCTAGAGAGTTGTAAAATTTGTATTCTGAGAGTATATATTTCTTCATATTGGTTATACTCGTTTAAAGAAAAACATTGCCAATTATTTAATTCAGTTTTGTATTTATTTTGGTTTCTAGTGAAAATTGATATTTTAAATGTTTATTGGCTGGTTTTGTTTTTTTTTGTTAATTTCCTATTAATATCCTTTATCTGTTTTTCTTTTGCAGTATTTGTCCTTTTTTTATTGATCCTTTGCCATAATTATTACAAGTATTTCCCATTTCTTTTGTTTGCTTCTCAAATTTTTTCTTTTTCTTTTTTTTCCTTTTTGTCTTTTCTCGTGACCGGCAACAGATCGCAACCCTCAGTGTCGCGCCCGTACCGGACTGGGACCGGCAACGGGATCGCAACCCTCGGTGCTGCGCCCGCCCCTCGCTCAGCCAGTGAACGGGAACCGGTCTGTATGTGGGATCCGAACCCTCGGCGGGAGCGCCACCGCGCTTCCCAAGCGGCGCACTGTAGCAGTGCACCACCGGGCCGGCCAGGATGGTTAACTTTTTAACAAGTAACTTAACTCATAATCTATTCAGAAACTAAGTTTTAGTACTTTATATACATTATTTAGGAAGAGAATTCCAGTGAAATCTCAACATAATGGTGACTAATATTTCTAGAAAATATTTTTTTTGTAGACATTATTACATTGGCGGCATGACTCGATTTTGGGGTGGGATTGAATGGAGTAAAGAAAGTTAAAAAAACTGACCTGAAAAAATAAACTTAAAGACCATGTACTATTTTCTCGGGGGGAAGGGAAAGGGGCAAGTTCTTCACTTACAAAGGAAGTCTGCCTTTAGGCATCAAGGGCTTTAAATTAATCATAACTGATAAAACATCTTAAAGCTGTGTTTTAAAGTGTCAACATTACTAATTAAATTGTTACCCTTTGAAATGGTGGTATTAGTTGAAAATTCCATCCATTCATTGCATTATTCATCAGGTAATAATTGAGTGCTTACCACGTACCAGGAAATGTGCTAGGTACTGAGAATACTTGTGATTGAACCAAACACAGTCTCTGTTTTGAAGGAATTTAAAGTCTAGTGGGGAACACAAACAGCTCATTATAGCACAGAATGGTTAAGCACCAGCTAAGCTAAGACTTGAAGGAAGACCAGGGGAAGGATGGAAAGAGCGTTGCAAGCAAAGGGACAAGCATGGGTACAAATGCACAGTTAGCCTGGAACATTTAGGGTAATTGCAAAGAGTTCAGAGCTGCTGGAGCCAAGAGGAGAGGGTGTGGTATGGAATG